AGGACTTTAAGAAGGCTTCCATGTGTCTTTCTCCAAATAAGTATAAACATAGTATTTACCTTGTGATATTATGTGTTTCCTTATACAAAAGCTCTTCCAACTGGTTCACTGTCATTTCAAAACTGGTTTTAAAATGCAAAAGATTTCTTTTAATGGTACGATTCTATGAATAGAATGACACTTCAGAGGTCATCTTCCCCAGTCACTTATAGTAAATGTTCATAGAATCATAGAATTGCAGAGTTGGAAGGGACCCAGAGGGTTATCCATTTCAACCCCTGCAATGCAGGAATCTCAACTAAAGCATCCATGACAGATGACCATCCAACCTCTGCTTAATAAACTCCAAGGAAGGAGAGTGCACAACCTGCTGAGACAGTCCATTTCACTGCTGAACAGCTCTAACTACCAGAAAGTTTCCTCCCTGAATGTTTAGTTGAAATCTCCTTTTTTTAACTTGATGCCATTGGTTCAGGTCCTACCCTCAAGAGCGGGGGGGGGGGGAAGCTTGCTTCATCTTCCATGTGACAGCCCTTTAGATATTTGAAGATGGCTCTCATTTATTTATTTATTTATTTGATTTATATACCACCATTCACCACAAGATCTCAGGATAAAATATTAGGTGAAAACACAAGTAAATAGTTAAAACAAAAACAACAAAACAATACCCCCTATCATATCTCCTCTCACTCTCTTCTTATCCAGGCTAAACATACCCAGCTCCTTCAACCATTCCTCATAAGGCTTGGTTTCTGGACTGTTGTTTTCTACCTGTGGCTTGGCAAAGTTACTAGGCCCTGTTCGACTTCCCAGGAAATAATTGATTTAATGTCAATGGCATAAAAAAGCCTGCAACATGTTGCTCCAGAAACGGGACAAATATGACCCTGTCCACATTCTTGTGCAACAGCTATTTCCTAGGAAGGGTAGAGACAAATTCTGGCACAGGAGCATCAGTGGAAGCTTAACCAGTCTTCACTGAATTAACAGTATAAATTGTGGGTTGCCAGCTCATCTGGTTGGTTGCTAGTCCATTTCCTGGCCCTATTCAAGGTGCTAATGTTGGTGTTTAAAGCCCTAAAAGATCAGGAACCAAATATCTGAAAGATTGCTCCCTTACATACAGACCTCCTTACGTTTGACACGTGAGATCTGTATTTTTCGGACCACCCTATTTTGTGGGATTGTATTCTCTGTAATTGTTTTTTCCTTGTTTCTAATATTGCATTTTAAATTATTGTAACTTTCCCGGGCACCCTAAGGTGAAGGGCGGGTGAACAACAAGAACAAGAACAACAACAACAACAACACTGTTACAATTCAACACACAGCATACATCAGGCATAGGCAAGCTCTGGCCCTCCAGATGTTTGGGACTACAATTCCCATCATCCCTGACCATTGGTCTTGTTAGCTAGGGATGATGGGAATTGTAGTTCCAAACATCTGTGGGCCGGAGTTTGCCTATGCCTGGCATACATCATCATATATCACTGGGCACCACCTTGAGTGGCTGATGGAGGCAATATAGGATGGAGCACAACAACACAGAACAAGTAGCCAAGGCATTTCGCTTTTTCCTTATTCACTTGCTGACACCATCATTTTTTGTCACTGAAGTTGAAAGCCCGATATTAGTGCATTGTCTTTCCTGGGAGGAAATGTGTAGGCAGTACAACCTGTTTGTTTCTGAAAGTTTCTTTTTTCCTATTGAAGTTACCAGTGAGGAGGTTGGTGATTGTTACAAGGCTCCTCAGAGCCACTATAGAGACATGGTGGGCCTGCTAGCAATCCTTCATGAACTAACTTTGGCCATGCACCTCTAGTTTCCTCTACAACTTATTCCAGCTAAGCACAGAGAGGTGTACCTGACAAAAAAACCATAGATGGCGATTGTTGAAGCTGTGTACACCTCACGTTTAACAAAATGTGCTACATATTTTAAAAACGGAAGCTAGACTGCTAATATGTTCACCAACAAGTTTTATCTCAGTGGAGAAAATGGTTAGATGTTGTTTTGGCTTTACTGTGTGCTTACCAGAGGCTGAGGCTTTGTGACTAGGTCTTGCCGTTTAATCACTTGCTTTAAACCGTTTTTAGCAATGGCTGAAATAGAAATATATTACATAAATCTGTTTAGTTTAATTTACACATCCTTAAACGACTGGGCCAAGTTCTTTAAGGGCATTTATTCTGCTTCATATAAATAATTGATCACCTAAGTTAATTTACTTCTGCCTGACTTGGTCAACCTTAATTAACTGCCCTGAAATAAAGACTGATTTTATTTGTTAGCTTGAAATCTTTCACAAATGTAAGAAGTCAAGGGCTTTGTTTTGACAAAATCTTACACCAGTGCTGTTGCTCAGAGAGACTGCTTGTATCTGTATGGACAGCCCAGCTTTTGCATGTTTGATAATAAGAATCTTTAGCAGACTTGGAGAGAGAGCATTAATGTTCATGAAATTACACCGAGATTTCAAAAGTGATAACCATGTGAGAAATGAAAATTGGGTGATTCTCTGGGAAGTAGTCTTAACTGTGACCATATTTTCTTACTTTTCTTTGACAGCCAGTGTGCTCATAGCTGAAATACACAAACAAAAGCAACTTAATCAAGAACAATATCAATCTATCCACTATCCTTGCTATCTTATATGCTATCCAGAATGTCTTTCTTTATCATCATTTTAAAGAATTTAAGTATTCCTCCTTTTCCCCATCAAAAGTTTTAATAGCTTTAAAACCAGAGGCTCAACCCTGTCCCTGCCCTCAGTTTCTCTGAGCCAGTGATGAGTTTATCATATTCATCCTGATCAGTAACATTGTATATGTGATTGATTGATTGATTGATTTGATGTATTAAATTTTGATGTCACTTTTCATTGAAATGAATCACAAGGTGACTTGCAAACAATAAATAACAATAACGTAATAGAACATCACAAACAAAGAATCATACAGAATAATTAGCAAATCGCCAGAAAAAACAATTAAAATCTATAAATCAATATTAACAAAACAACTAAAAATGATGAAAGGTGGAATAATGAGATTGAAGGAACTACAGAAATAACTGAGGATAGGAGGGAGAATTGCTCTGTATGGACAAAGGTGCTTTAGGTGTAGGAAAAGATGCCGAAGGAGTGTAGTCCTCCAAGAGTCAGACCATCAGAGGGACCTTATAACTTTAAGGTGTGTGGCAATTTTAAAAAACATATTCTACCAGGTGTGATCTCCCCACCCCATCCTCAGAATATTTTGCCTCTGTTTTAAGAGCTGGGGAAAGGCTACTGTTTAAGAGCTCCAGAAATGATTCAATTTACGAAGCTTGTAAAAGTGCTATAGTTTCATACATCAATCAGCCAGATTTTTAGCAACTGTTTTATTCTATTTGAACCACTTCTACTTTTTGTTCTAGATCATAATTACGCCATAATGCCTTCATTGAACAACAGTTATTCCTAATTTTCTCCCCTTTCCCTTCAGTTAAGGGTGGATTTCCCCTTCTTGCATCCCTCAGAAGCTGTTTAATTAACTAATAAAAAGTATGCCTTCTCTCCATTTTGTTGTTGTTGTTTAGTCGTTTAGTAATGTCCAACTCTTCGTGACCCATGAACCAGAGCATGCCAGGCACTCCTGTCTTCCACTGCCTCCCGCAGTTTGGTCAAACTCATGCTGGTAGCTTCGAGAACACTGTCCAACCATCTCGTCCTCTGTCGTCCCCTTCTCCTTGTGCCCTCAATCTTTCCCAACATCAGGGTCTTTTCCAGGGAGTCTTCTCTTCTCATGAGGTGGCCAAAATATTGGAGCCTCAGCTTCAGGATCTGTCCTTCCAGTGAACACTCAGGGCTGATTTCCCTAAGAATGGATAGGTTTGATCTTCTTGCAGTCCATGGGACTCTCAAGAGTCTCCTCCAGCACCATAATCCAAAAGCACCAATTCTTCGGCGATCAGCCTTCTTTATGGTCCAGCTCTCACTTCCATACATCACTACTGGGAAAACCATAGCTTTAACTATACAGACCTTTGTCGGCAAGGTATAGGGAGGTGCTATTCCTTGTGGTCCGGAGCTTCTCAAGTTACTCAGAACGCATGGGAAGGAACTCCACTGCATCAGTTCCCATGCTGCCAGTATAATGTTAAAAAAAGGGGGGGGAGTGTGCTTAGGAAGCTTTTTCTGCCTTTAGTTTGAATCAGGAGTTAGAGCTGGGTATTATTGCAGATGCTAGGCAAAGCCCTTAATCAATTGTTTCTCAAGTAATACAACTTTGATACTAATTTTATTTGCCCACATTATTCACATTTAAATGTTCGAATTCACTAGTGGCTCTCAGGTGTCTTTTCCCCCCTATAAGCGTAGCTCAACCGTGAAAATAAATAGTTGTTGTTTGGCTTGGGTTGTCATCCATTTCTGATAATCAGGTCTCCTTTTCACGGCTGATTAAGAGGGTGGCTTTCACTAGGGCTCTGATACTGTTCATTCCAAAGGACAGCCCCTAGGGTGGGGGCAATGCCCTAGGCCTAAGGTGTGGATGATAGGTGATGCTTTGCATCTGAGTATGTATGTGCTCTTTTTCAAGTCTGTCGCCCACAACATCCTCCTACAGCAAGCTGGCAAGCATCCTGTTGCACATATATATATCATAATGTACCACGTAGAATGTATTATAGCTTTTAAGTGAAGTGTTCAGATGCAATTAAAGCAATCGAATTCTAGAGCTTGCATATCTACGTCTGCAGATATATCTGAGAGGGGGGAAAGCTGCTGAGTAAATGCTGCTATATTTAGAAAAAGAATTTACTGATGATATAGCTATACCAACAAATAAACATAAACTGGTGGCTTGAACCATTAATGAAAGCACAAATTGTACGAAGGGAAAGGTCAAATGTTTACAGCTACGGCAAGCTTTAAAAAACAAGATATATCTTAATGTACAAGTGTTTCAACAGCTGCTTTATTATCCCTTTTTCCTCCACTGAATTATTTCAGGTTTTTGAGTCATGATGCAAGAATCTGGGACTGAGACAAAAAGTAACGGTTCAGCCATTCAGAATGGAGCAAGCGCTGGTAGCCATATACTAGAGTGCAGCCTGCGGGAAGCGAGATCAAACGGAGAGACACCTTCAGTGGAAATTGGTGCAGCAGACCTAGCCCACCTTCAACAGCAGCAGGTACATATTCAGATTTCACTACCTGGAGGGAGCAGGGGGGAGAAGACTTGACCATGTAAAAAGATGGTGGCATTTTCCAGCAAAATAAGAAACTTACAGAAAATAGGTTTTTATCTGTTGTTTGTGTCCTGTAGGCCAAATGCAAAATGGATGTTTCATTTATCCAATCGGAATTACTTTTTCGATACTCTTGTCAGAAAGATCAAGAGTTCATAGCTTGAGTCTGTCGTCCATTGATGACTGTACAAAATAATGTTTGTGAATATGCACTTATACAACGAAATAAGGTTGGATGAAATCCGGTGGTATCTATATGCAACTGGGAACAGACGTTTCCTTACACAATGGGATTTCTGGTTTTCCTCCTTCCTTCCCTGCAGACCCCCATATGTGCCCAGAATCTGCTCTGGAAGGGATATATTGGAGAAAGGGAAAGTCCTGTTGTGTGAGGGAAGTCCATTAGAGCAATGTTGGATTTTCCCCATTATGATCAAGTTAGGAACACGCCTATCAATAAAAGATTTAAAAATACATTTAAATAGGAAAGTCATGTTGTATGTATCTGTAATATTGGAATTGGCGGAAATGAATCATAATTCTACTTTTTAAAACAAGCTTTCATAATGTGGGTTATTAAAAGGAAGAAGGGGTGGGCTTCTGAGGGTTCTGTGTGTCAGTACAACCTTGGTCTCCTGTAATGCTGAATGTATTCTTGAAGTATTTTAAGTAAGTTATTTGACAGCTTTGTAAATACTCTTCAGAGCACATGATGCTCTTGTCAGCAGGTAGTTGTACAGTAGAAAACAGGAGTTGAAAACACATTGCAGTCAGCCAACGTTGCTATTTTTTCCCCCTTGGAAAAAACGCACACAACATAATTCCTCTACAGTTTAGCTGTTTTGAGAGTCACATGATGTTAAATGCAATAGACAGTTATTTCAGCCGTTTTCTTACTATGGGTCTCTTATTTGAAGTGAGAATACAATCAGTGAGAAAATCACAGCCATGCTGAATTCATTACTGCAGTAGTCATACAAAACCATGGATAAAATTTCAATAAGTGCAGGCCACAGTTGAGTAAACAGTTGCACTGAAACTTAATTCCTGTTGACTTTTCCCTCATTCTTCGCCAGGGGCACATTCTGAATCGTAGTGCAAAGACAACAGGGGTTACAGCTTTGATTAATATAGGACAGTGAAAGAGAATAAGAACAGTAAAATATGTTGGAACTACACTGTACACAAAAGCCTTCTTCTCCGACAGACTTCACAGCAAAATGAGCTAATTCCATTGTTAGTGTATCTGCATTTTTCTAAACCTTTTGCTTCTTTCCAGTCTGTTTTTGCTGGTACACATTTCTATATCGCTCTTCATACAAAATCACAGACTAGCTACCAATTAAAAAATAATAATACACAGCAACAAATGAAATAAGTTAATACTTTGAAATAACAAAAAGCCATCTTATAACTTCCACAGCAGCATGATAATACATTCTAATGGAGTATCTGGCAGCTCAGAGATCCAAAAACTGTATTACATATATTTGCCATTTCTCTTTTCACCAAATATTCATCAGCATCATGGCTACCACCTTCTAACCTACCTATAATCAAGACCACACCCTAATGAACCACAGGGGTCACTGCTGAGTGGAGTAATACCTTAATCATTATATGCATTGAATCACGTCACTCAGCAGCAACCTACCTGAATGCTCAAGGAGAGGCAGGAGTGCCTTTCAAGATGAATTTAATGGAATTTAAAGGAATGAGTATTTAGTTCATACCTAGTTATAACTGTCTGTTTTGCATTTGGCTTATATAAAGTCACCTTTGGTTTATAGTCTTGTCCATAGGTCTCCATACACTTCCCTTTTTCTTTTGTCATAGAATTTTCTTTTATGAAGCAAACAACTTGCTAGTTTAATAACACATCCATACTAAACATGTGTGCATGTGTATTTTGTTTGTTTGTTTATAAATGAGCGTACTATCCAAACAATCCTCAAAAACTGTATCACAGTGTATTTGATGGCTGTGGTTTCCAGATACTGTTTCTAGGTACTGTTAATGCTGAAAAAGGAAAAAAAAAAGTTGTTTTCAAACAGCTACAGCAAGCATGCAGCATACTGTTTAGTTGTTTCTCCCTATACAACATATGCTCTCGGGTCACTTAACAGAATGCTTGCTATAAAATGCTCATTCAATAAATCTGAATGGCTGTTAAGTAGAACTGCTGTTTCCTGACAGCATTGCAATGTAAATTCTTCATTTCTCTTCTTTTTGACAACTGTATTGCATTGTCTGAAGTATCAGTGAAGGGTACTTCTGATTTGGTTCTCTATCAAGTACCTTGTTCTTCTTTGTAGGCTACCTGCAATGATTCCTAAGGGGTGTATGGCTGCATAAGAACCAGCTTCATTAATATATATTTTTTATAATTTTATCCAGTGAATTGATGTCACTCCACCCTCCCTCCCTGGATTGGCACATACCAATGACAATGGCTGGGTGAACACACAGCCTTGAACAGCAACTAAGTATAATGCTTTTATAGCAACTTGTTGCTGTGGCTTTAATTTTCTTGAATGGGATTGTGGTGCACCTGTGTGGGTAAGCTAAATGAGAGAGCCATGTCCTTGAGGGCAGTACCATATTCTGCTAAGGAAAAAAATGAAAGACTAACTTTCAGAAGTACAGTATACCTGTTTTTCCATACAACCTAGAAAGCACAGCGACAGGTACAATTTGGTTATTATTTTGTGCAAAGTAAGGAAATACAAGCTACATAAACGATATCCCAGTGAAATAGGTTCATTTGCAAGGTATAAAGCTGTAAAACACAAATAAACTTAAAAAAATAAATAAATAAGATATATGCTATTCATAGCTCTTCACTGAAATTTGGGGGGTATATGTACAAAGCACATAAAGGAAAGGTTTAGTGGGTACTCAGTCTTGTGTCATAAGATGATATTTAACATGAACAGTGACAAACTTTTAAGGACATATGTAGCAGTTATTCATGGGAAAGCTCTGCATTCCAGTGTTCCTTGCACATGCAGGGGCATGCATATTTGCTATGAACAAAAAAGAATGAGAGGTGTGTGCTTCTCTATAAAGAGGAGCTTATCTCAGTTCATCCCTACTTTACTTGTGTCTATCATGCTGAAAACTAGGGATAAAGAAAGGGAGAGTCCGTAGCTGTAGAGTAGCTGACCATGTCACCTTGATCATAGGGAAAACTTGGGACATTACAAATGTTTTACCCCATTACAAATATCTGTTTTTAAAAAATACCTTGCATTGCATGAAGAGCAAATGCTTAAAAATAGATCCAAAAGGGAAAGAATGAACAGAAAAGTAAAATATTGGCAAAATTGGATGTTTCTGAATAATGTGAGGGAGTAAGAGGGAGGAGATTAAATCTGAAATCTATGTGGTTGAGAAGCTTCAAGGCCTTACTTTTGAAAAGCCATGTGTGAACACAACTCTTGCAAGCAAATGCCATCTGGGTAGGATGATCTGCCTACCTGCCTCTAGCAAAGATTTACATTTTCTGGAGTCAGTGTCGTTCTTCGCTTGAAAACAGATGCTTCCTACATGACATTTAAACACATTATTCGTGTGTGTACCATATTTTGAATGTGTAATGTCAGAATCTGCGTGTAAGGCTGTTTCTGCCCGGTTTTGAACCGGGAACCTTTTGCGTGTGAGGTGAACGTGATAACCATTACACTACAGAAAACCAGTTCGAACGTGATAACCACTACACTACAGAAAACCAGTTAGAACGTGGTAAACACTACACTACGGAAAACCAGTTAGAACGTGGTAACCACTACACTACAGAAAACCAGCTCGAACGTGATAACCACTACACTACGGAAAACCAGTTAGAACGTGATAACCACTACACTACAGAAAACCAGCTCGAACGTGATAACCACTACACTACGGAAAACCAGTTAGAACGTGATAACCACTACACTACGGAAAACTAGTTCGAATGTGATAACCACTACACTACAGAAAACCAGTTAGAACGTGATAACCACTACACTACGGAAAACCAGCTTGAACGTGATAACCACTACACTACGGAAAACCAGTTAGAACGTGATAACCACTACACTACGGAAAACCAGTTAGAACGTGATAACCACTACACTACGGAAAACCAGTTCAAATGTGATAACCACTACACTACGGAAAACCAGTTAGAACGTGATAACCACTACACTACGGAAAACCAGTTCAAATGTGATAACCACTACACTACAGAAAACCAGTTTGAACGTGATAACCACTACACTACAGAAAACCAGCTCGAACATGATAACCACTACACTACAGAAAACCAGCTTGAACATGATAACCACTACACTATAGAAAACCAGCTCAAACGTGATAACCACTACACTACAGAAAACCAGCTCGAATGTGATAACCACTACACTACAGAAAACCAGCTCGAACGTGATAACCACTACACTACAGAAAACCAGCTCGGAATGTGATAACCACTACACTACAGAAACAGACTTGAAAGAGAAGTTGCTGAATTACAACTTATCACTAAACTGAAAACTATGGAGAGACCTGGTCTTAATAGAGATATTGGATTCCTGTCTCATTACATAGGCTAGTTATCTGCATACTACCCCTTGCTTTTTCTTGTAGGACTAATTGCAGTCGTTAACAGTCGTCAACAGGTTTACCATACCCATTGAGTCAATCGCCCATCTCCCACTACCCTCCCACTATATATAAGGGTCTGGTGACTTAGTGTATCTGAACAAGTGTGCATGCACACGAAAGTTTATAGCGAGAACAAACTTAGCTGGTCTCTAAGGTGCTACTAGACAATTTTTTAATATATTTTGTCAGGATCTGCCATTGTTATAAATGTTGAGAATAATCAGCCTACAGTAACTCAGTAGCAACAATAATGTTGGTCACCACACATCCCAATGAAGCCTTCAGTAGATAATTGA